GCCTTACTAAAGTCTAGGTATACCACATCCACAGCTTTATCTGTCTTTGTTTCTCACTCTCAAAATCCCTCGGTCTCTCCTGGTGTTATTTAAAGTCTTTGGAAACAATTACTTCAGCATGAGTAGCTTCCTGTGAAGCAATGGAAGTTCTTGTAACTTACCTAGCCCTTCCTGTGTATATGCTCATGTAATAATTCTTACAGACAACTCTTCCATTTGATTCAAAAGTAACTCAGCCTTTGTAACTTATTCTGTAAAATATTCTACTATTTTGCCAAGACAACAGTAACTAAAAGCAAGTGTTCAAAGCTTTAAAATTTAAATATTAGTTTGATGTTTAAATATATAGTTGACAACATTTGAAAAGCAAACTATAAAACTGGATTGTGTCCTCCTCTATTTTTTAAAAAAACTTTTCAATAGAAGCGCATATAAACAATTACACACTTTTATAAATTGCTTATTGTTGACTTTTCTTGATAATTTTCTCATTGGGTCAAAAAAATAACAGCACCATCAGACAAATGCTATACCATTTCTGAAGTCAGACAGAATGTGCTGTAACCTGAGGGAGTTGTGGGGAGAGGGTTATATTTAAATTTGACAGTAGCACTGTAACCTAACAACCGAGGTTGCATGCAAATGTGTTAGTTTCACTGTAACCTGAAAGCAGGAACCGTAAGCAAATCTTTCGCTGTAATCCAGCAGCATTTTATGTTACCTTATAGCAGTGCCATAACAAGGGCGAGGCGAGTGAGGCACTTACCTCGGGCGCACAAAGGGAGGGGCGCAATCACCTCCTCTCTGCCTCCTCTCCGAATGCTCTGCCCCTGCTTCTCTGCGCCACCGCTTCCCGCGAATCAGCTGTTTGCATGGGAAGCCTGGGAGCACGGAGAAACAACCGGCGGCATGCTCAGGCCCAGGGAGGCGGAGGTGGAGCAGAGGTGAGCTGGGGCAGGGAGCGCAGGGCCGGGTCTAACTTTTTTGCCACCACCCCAACGACAAAAAAAAAAAAAGTAGTGTG